AAATGAAGCTGAAATCAGTTTGGTGTAGTGGTGAGAGTGCTGGATCTGGAAAGACCTGGCTTCAGATTCCCGTGCTTGGCACTTGCAAGCATTCATTTACTTATAACCCACTTTTCTCCCTGGTTGGGACCCCAAGTAGCTTAAAACATTGTTCTCCCCTCATTCACTTTCTCACAACAACACCACTGTTAGTTAGACGAAGCTGAGAGTTTGTGACGGGGCCGAGGTGTGTGTATAACTTTCAAAGTGAGATTAGTGAGTCATGAGGAGGTGAAATACTACTCAAAGGAGTCTCAGAGCAGCTTACAATCTCTTTTCCCTTCCCCTCCCTTGTGAGGTAGGTGGGGCTGAGAGAGCTCTTTTGAGAACTGCTCCTGAGAGAACAGCTCTGAGAGAACCTGTGACTGACCCAAGGTCACACCAGCAGCTGCATGTGGTGGTGTGGGGAATCAAACCCGGTTCTTCCAGATTAGAGTCCATGCTCCTAACCACTACACCAAACTGGCTCTTTACTGGATTAAAGTTAACCTGGGCAATGATCCATTGGCAGTGAATCCCCCCCCCCTTCCCCAGGAATACTTCCAAAATGCATGTCTGAATTTCTACTGGGATTGTAAAATTCCCAGTTATCTGAAATAGAACTGATGGTTCAGGGATCCTCTGTTCTTTGCTTTTTTTAAAAAAAGTATGTTGTGCCGAGCATGCTGGGTTTTCCATGGATTTGGCTTCATTCACTTTTGTGGCCTCTCCTGGGCCCCTTCCCCGACTCCCTGTCAATGGAGTAATTCCATTTCATCAACAAGAAAACATATACAGGTTGCCTTCTTTCCACCTTTCTGTTTTTCATGGCTTTTCTTCCTCTCTTCCTGTGCAGGAGATTAGAACGGAATCTTTTTAACTGCAGTTGTGATATTCGCTGGATCCAGCTTTGGCAGGAGAAAGGTGAAGCGAATTTGCAGAGCCAAGATTTGCGGTGCATGAATGGGGAAGGCAACCGAATATCCATGCAAGAGATGAATATCAGCCAATGTGGTAAGGGTGTGTGTGTGTGATTCTGTAATATGTTTAGTTCTCCCATTGTCTATACATTTCTGATATATACTCTCCCACTCCTCACATACACCGGAGAACCAGTGTGGTCTAATGGTTGTACTAGAACCACAGAGACCCAGGTTCAAATCCCCACTTGGGTAATCAAGCTTGCTGGATGATTTGGGGGCATTTTTAAGACATGATACAGTGGAGGGAGAAGAGTGATGTGTGTGTGTTATGTGCTGATAAGTCCCTTTTGACTTATGGTGATCCTATGAATTAATGACCTCCAAAATGTCCTATTCTTAACGGGCTTGCTCAGGTCTTCCTGTGCCAGTGTGGTATAGTGGTTAAGTGCGCGGACTCTAATCTGGGAGAACCGGGTTTGATTCCCCACTCCTCCACTTGCACCTGCTGGATGACCTTGGGCAAGCCATAGTTCTGACACAGTTGTTCTTGAAAAAGAACAGTTTCTGTCAGAGCTCTCTCAGCCCCACCTACCTCGCAAGATGTCTGTTGTGGGGAGGGGAAGGGAAAGGAGTCTGTAAGCCGCTCTGAGACTCCCTTGGGTAGTGAAGGGCAGGGTATAAATCCAATCTCTTCTTCCAAACGGAAGGCCGTGGCTTCCTTTACTTGAGTCATTCCATCTCGAGACTGAACTCTCCATAGAAGCCAAACTGAGGCTACCATACTTTGGTCACATGAGAAGACAGGAGTCACTGGAAAAGACAACGAATCTAGGAAAAGTGAAAGGCAGCGGGAAAAGAGGAAGACCCACCCAACATATTCCTTCTCGTCCCACGGCCCTCCGTTTGCGAGGCCTGAGCAAGGCTGTTAAGGATAGGGTTAGGGTTGCCAGGACCCCCCAGCCACCAGTGGGGGTTGCCAGATCCAGGTGGGGAGAGTCCTGGGGATTTGGGGGTGGAGCCTGGGGAGGACAGGGACCTCAGAGGGGTGCGATGCCATAGAGCCTACCCTCCAAAGCATCCCTTTTTCCCCCAGGGGAGTGGATCTCTGCAGTCTGGAGGTGAGCTATAATTCAAAGGGATCCCCGGGTCCCACCTGGAGGCTGGCATCCTGAGACAGGATGTTTTGGAGGACATTGATTCATAGGGTTGCCGTTAAGTCCAGAGTTACTTGATGGCACTTAAAAAAGACATACACAAACGTCTCATGTCGGACTCTCCTCGTTTCCTGCTCTTTCCAGTGAGTCTTGTCTTTTCTTGACATGATTACAATATGATAGCCTCTGTTCAGTCACTTTAGCTTCTAGGGAGAATCCAGGGTGATTTCACCTAGTGCCCACTTATTTGCCATTTTGGAAAAGAACCATTTGTTGTTGTTCAGTCGCACAGTCGAGTCCAACTCTCTGTGACCCCATGGACCAGATCACACCAGGCCTTCCAGTCTTCCGCTGTCCTCTGAAGTTTGCTCAACTTCATGTTTGTTGCATCGATGACACTGTCTAACCATCTCATCCTTTGCCGTCCCCGTCTTCTTTGACCTTCAGTCTTTCCCAGCATCAGGGTCTTCTCCAGTGAGTGCTCCCTTCTCATTGGGTGGCCAAAGTATTTGAGCTTCAGTTTCATTATCTGGCCTTCCAGGGAACAGTCAGGATTGATTTCTTTTAGGATTGACTGATTTGATCTTCTTGCAGTCCAAGGGGCTCTCAAGAGTCTTCTCCAGCACGACAGTTCAAAAGAACCATATTTGTGGAGAAAGATTGGGATGAAAATTGTTGTTAGTAAATAATACACACACACACAAACACATTTTTTGCCTCCCCTAATTGCAGAGGACCTAGGTTTTTGGGGTTTTGAGAGATTATTTGGGGCTTCTCCTTGGTTCCATTATTGGCATTTCCATTAAACATGCAAACTTGCGTGTATACACCATCACATCTCTGTTCAGTACTTCCAGTGAAGTTCCCTCCTGCAGTCAATGCTAAGCCACAGTCTCTCCAGAGGACACTAAGGTGAGACAGCTGCTGGACCTCAGAGTCCTTCAGGACCTCACATGAGAAGTTCTGAGACAATTCCATAAAACCTTCAAAGGCACTTGTTTGTCTTTGCTTTCCTTCTGTCTTGATACAGCCCTTTGTGGGAAGACATGGATCACAAAACTGGCACATAAAGCTCTGGAACACTGCTATATTTGGCATGCGCATTGAACTGTTTGCATGAGTCATAGAATCATAGAATTATAGAATGTTAAAGTTGGAAGGGACCTTGCAGGTTATCTAGTCCAACCCCCTGCACTCTGCAGGAGCATAGCTGAAAGATAGCCCTACATACCTACAACATACCCGAAAGTCCAGCCTCCGCTTGAAAATGTTTAGTGAAGGAGCATCCACCACCTCCCGAGGCAGTGTGTTCCACTGCTCAACCACTCTTACAGTTAGGAAGTTTCTCCTGATATTTATCCGGTAACGACTCCCTTGTAATTTCCACCCATTAGATCTAGTCTTGCAATTCGGAGCAAGAGAGAATAGATCCACTCCATCTTCTACATGACAGCCCTTCAAATACTTGAAGACTGCAATCATGTCCCCTCTAAGCCTTCTCTTTCCCAGGCTAAACATACCCAACTCTTTCAGCCTTTCCTTATAAGACTTGGATTCCAACCCTCTCACCATCCTGGTTGCCCTCTTCTGGACACGGTCATCTGAATGGAGGACTCTCCCATATCTAACAGGTTGTGGGATTTCTTGGTGGCCTGTTGTCTAGGGAACCCCAAAATCCGGTGTTCATGACTTGCATGCATTCATTGCATGAAGGAATTTATTAGTGTGAGTGGGTTCTCCTTTGCCCCTCATATGAACTTGTAGGAAATTTAGGAGTTAATTAGTATCTCCTCCCCCTCCCCAGTCAGTGGAGTCTTTTGCTTTTTATTAAGTGCTGGAAGTGGGCCGGGATAGCTGCCTGTAGGTGAACTAAAAGGATTTGGGGGGCAACTGGAAATGCCTCAACAAATTGGAAGAGTAATCTTCAAGGATTTGAAAATCCTTTGTGTGAGAAGTTGTGGGCAGGGCAAGTTCTCTCCTGCTATTAGGTGGGGAGGGACATTAATTTCCTGGGCTTAGGGGGTGAGCAGCTTCCTTGACCTCCCCATCCCTGTAACACTCCCCTTCACAATGGGAGAGAAATCTCCCCACAGAGAGCCTTTCCTCCCCAAATGTAACTGTTGCTGCTTATGTACTTAGTAACTAGAATGGGACAGCAATTCTGAGAATTTCCTCACTGAACCTTGTGATCCAAGGTTAGACAGGGGCTGTGGCTCAGTGGTAGGACAGAGGATCCCAGGTTCAATCCCTGCCCTCTTCAGTTAAAAGGACTGGCCGGTAGGTGAAGTGAAAGACCTCTGCCTAAGACTCTGGAGAGCCTCTGCCAGTCTGAGTAGACAGTACTGAACTTGATGGACCAAGGGTCTCCTTCGGTATAAGTCAGCTCACTGCGTCCATGTGTTCAGGAGGTAGAAAAGGGGAACCCAGATGGAAGGGTCTTCTCTACAAGGAAAGGCTAAGGTGCTTGGGGCTGCTTAGCTGTAAAAAAAGCTACAGGAGAGGGTGGCAAGGTTTATGAAAGTATGCATCGGGTGGAGAAAGTTGATAGAGAGATTCTATTTCTCCTTCTCCCATAATACTTGGGGGCATCCAGTGAAACTCAAGAGTAGGAGTTCGAGGCAGACACAGGGGAGACTTGCTTCATGTAGCACATGATCAGCTCACTGCCACAGGGTGTCCACACGGGTGCATGAAACTGTGTTGCATTGAATCAGGCCACTGGTCCATCAAGGGCAGTACTGCCTACACAGACTGACAGGGGCTCCCCAGGCTCTCAAGCAGAGGTCCTTCACATCACCTAGCACCAGATGCTTTTTAAACTGGAGATGCCAGGGGTGGGACCCAGGGCCTTTTGCATGCACAGCCAATGTTCTGTTACTGAGTCTCAGCTCCTCCCCAGCTAGCCACCAGCTTGTAATAGAAAGTGTCATCCAGTTGCAGATGACTTATGGCGACCCCATAGCGTTTTCAAGGCAGGAGATGGGCAGAGACTCCCTTGGTGGTCTCCCATCCCAATACTAACCAGGGCCGACCTTGCTTAGTTTCCGAGATCTGATGAGGTCTGATCAGGGCCATCCAGGTCAAGGCACTATTTTAGATGGGTTTAAAAAGGGGGATTAGAGAAACTCTTGGGAGTGTAGGTCATTGTTCCCTCTAAGCTGAGTTAGTGTGAGCTAGCTCACAGTTTTTGAGCCTCCAGCTCACACATTTTTGTCTTCGCTCAGGAAGGATGGGGCTCCAGAGCAAACTTATTCATGCAGTTGCCAAATCACCTGCTCACAACTTTAACACCAGTAGCTCAGTAAGTAGGATTTTTGCTCACAGGACTCCATAGCTTAGAGGGAGTATTGGTGTAGGTCTATCAGCAGCTCTTAGTTATGATGGCTAAATTGGACCTGTAAGTTCAGGGGTCCTAACCCTCTGAATAGCCGCTGCTGTTGGGAAACAGAGGAGTGAGGATTTGGATTCTGTGTCCCGCTTGCACACTTTCCAGGAATATCCAGTTGGCCATGATGGAAAACTTGTTGATGGACTGGAGAGACCATTGGTCTGCTCCAGCAGGGCTCTTCCAGGGGAAGAGACTGCACAGGGCAGGAGACTGCACAGCGTTTCCAACTAATCCAGGCATGTAATTAAATACTTAGCTGGCATCCTGTAGTAACCAGACAGCTTAGGAGCTTACATAAGTTTGAGACAGAACATTCAAAAGCTGTATTTTTTCATGCATGGCAGCACTGCAGCAGAACAGGAAGCATACAGAGCTTGCACTTGCTGTTCACTCCTCATAGCTGTCAATGTACAAAGCTGCTCTAAAGCAGATTAGGAGAAAGAAGTCTGAACTCAGTGAGTCTCTTGGTTCTGCTTGTTCTCCTGACATGGCTATTTTGGTGTTGGTTGGATTCTTCTAGATCTGCCGGAAATCAGTGTCAACCATGTGAACCTGACTGTCTGTGAGGGTGAAAATGCGGTTATCACTTGCAATGGGTCTGGCTCTCCACTGCCTGATGTTGACTGGATGGTGGTAAATCTGCGTTCCATCAACACTCATCAGGTAGGACACTAAGCACTGCTATCTTTTTCAGAACCTTCTCTGTATATAAGGAGGGTACGGTAGCATGTTTTCTTTCCAGTATTGAACTTCTAGACTTACCCAGGGTTCAGGTTAGCAACACAGACGTTTCTGTGGTCCTAATGGGGGAAAAAATAAGCACCGATTAATTGTTTGTTCCATATTATCTTTCCCTGTGTTTTCCCCCCAGACAAATGCCAACTGGACCAATGTCCATTCCATCAACCTGACCCTAGTGAATGTCACGAGCGAGGACAATGGCTTCCTGCTGACGTGCATTGCAGAGAATGTGGTGGGAATGTCTAATGCCAGCGTGCTTCTCACAGTATTTTGTAAGTCGATGGGGATGAGGGACACTCTGGGGTCAAGGCACAGGAGCTATTTGTTTGTTAATCCTTTTCTTAACTGCTGTTGAAGAACAACTTGTGGGCTGTGCCTCAGTGGCAGAACACCTGCTTGTCATGCCAAAGGTCTCAGGTTCAATCCCTGGCACCTCCACTTTAAAAGACTGGGTAAGGGTTGATTAGAAAGGACCTCTGCCTGAGACCCTGGAGAGGTGCTGCCCATCTCAAAAGACAGCACTGATACAGTCACCAATGGATGCATTTAAATGACAATGGGAGAGCATCTGCAGTGCATGCTGAAGGTCTCAGGTTCAATCCCCAGAACCTCCAGTTGAAAAGGATCAGGTAATAGGTGATTTGAGACCTCTCAAAGATCTGTTGTCAATCAGAGTAGGCAGTATTGATCTCGATGGACCAATGCTGACTCAGTATAAGGAGGTTTCATGTATGTTCAATATAGCAAAGAACACTTGATGCAGCTGTAAATGCAGTCCTGGGCAGGTTGCATTTTGGCAGTGTGGCAAACTGTTCATGAACCAAGCAGCATACCCAGTTTGAAAATAAATAGAACACTGCAAGACAAGCCGCTAAATCCAGGATATCTAGTGTATTGCTTCACCTTGGGAAACCAGAGCAGATTATCTGGAAGTTCAAAATTTTGGTGGAAAACTGGGCAAGGGGAACTTCAGAAGTATCCCAGTTGTTTAACAGCATACTATGGGGGCAGTAAATCCTCCTTTAAATTAGAATGATCTTACTTTGCATGGCAAATTCCAGCAGAGCAGCTGAGTTTGGGCTGATTCAAATGATCCTCCTAATGATGATCTGAATATTTGTGATCTGCAGATTCTAGAGCAAAAACTTCAGGACTGTTTTTCTCAAGATACTGGTCATCTGTTGCAGTTTAATGATATTATCAATAGAGGGTTTATTAGAGGGGGGGCTCAGTGAGGGGATGCTGTGCAAACTCATGCATAGCAGTATTGTAGAGAAAAGAGGATTTTGTTGAATCTTTCCTATCCTAGATTTCTATTCTTAACCTTCTTGCTTATTAATAGGGCCTTGATGTACCTCTAAGCCGATTTAAGACAACTACATGCACCCTTGTCTCCAGTGGATCCCAGGGGAGTGGTTTCTAGGGGAC